GTGGTCTCCTTGGTAGACCTGAACAATAGGAGCAAGGTTTAGGGGCAGCCACAGTGTCAAGCGGTCGAACCAAGGTCCCTTGGCGAAACTCAACCCTGAACCCGGAGCGGGTTGAGGGTGTAGAGCAGGTTTAGGGTTTGGTTCAGGCTCGAGGCCTAGGGAAACCCGAAAGTTGAAGCCCAATCCCAGGTATAGGCTTCCAGCAGGCGAGAGCATTTCAGCAGAAGTTGGCTCGCCAGCAAGCGGAGGCCGGGTGTCTTTCTAGAGCTCTTTTTCAGGGTTTAGAGTTTGGGGATGTTGTTCTTGTGTTCACAATCTTTTAATTTGTTTGTGTCTCGATTTTGTTTGGGATGCAGTGCCGCGGGTTTTGGACTTTGGAAATATCGGGTTTGGGAGTTTTTTGAGGCTGGGAGCGGCTTTTGAGGCTTGGTCTTGGGTTGACTCGCTGGAGGGCAGGCTTGGGTCCACAGAGATGTGGGTTGAGAAAGCGCAACTTCTTGGATCTAGGGGTAATTCAGGGTTTTCTTTGGTTCTTATGGCGTTTGACAGGATTTCCTCGAACCTAAAGAACTTTTGAGGAAGAGTATTCCCAACAGACAGAATATCAATTGACTGGGAAGCAGCAGTGCAAAGATCAGTTCAGCTTAGTTCAGATTACAGTAGAAGCCAGAAAGTTGGAACATCATTATTCTCATGCTTTTAAGGTAAAGTATAGGGAAGCCTAGCACTAGCCATCCTTGATCCATGTTCCGAGTTTCTGGAATCGATAGTCAGAATTTTCGCGTTTGGGGTATATCATACTATAGTTGTTATAATGAACCACCAAAACCCTCTTCTGATTTTTAAGGCCCCTATACCCTAAACCAGTATAGTAGCCCTTGTAGAGCCTTTGTAAAGGAACCCTTGAAAAAGGAGCCCTAAAAAGACACTTTCCTAATTACGAAGGCCCCTGCATTCGTTGGTTTAGGGTTGAGGGTTTGGGGGTTTAGGGTTTAGGGTTCGTCAAATCAGCGTATCCGACAGTGTAGCTGGTAAGATAAAGCAGATTGTGCGCACTTAGCCTCCGCATCTCGCCACGAGTGCGATGTGCTTGGGGATTCTGGCCGGGCGAGCACTAATCAAAGGGGAAAAGGAGGGACCCTTAATGGGGACCCTAACCCTATAATGGGCTATAGAATGGGTATATAATGGGTATATCATAGCTATATTAAGGGTCGCTCCTTTTCCCCTTTGAACTAATGAAGCCTGTGGAAAAAGGGTTCCTCAAATCCAGGCCGCCGATCTTCCGCTCGCCGCGCGGAAGGGATCGCCTCGGAAAGCTACCGTGACGCTCCTCGGAGCCGTGTAATTTATACAGGGGCCTTAATAATTACCTGTTTTGGGGGGTTCCTTACTATGATTATAGTACAAGATACCCCAAAACCCTATTCTGACTATTGAGGCCTCCATATTAAGGCTTTAGGGTTCGTGCTGCAGCTTTGGGATCCACGGATCCGTGGAAACTGGATAATGATGATGATCATAGTGATGATGAGTAAAGGTAAAGTACACAAACTAGCGGGTACAACAAGTGCCCGAACTGTATCACTTTCTCTGTATTTGCTGTCACTATTTTATAGTGTCTGGCGTCACAGCTTAGCTAGAGTCTCCATTGTAGTTCCTCTTCTGGTTAACCAAAATCTCTATTCTAGGATCCTAACAATAAAACTGGTTAACCAAAAAAAGGAACTACAATGGAGACTCTAGGTAAGCCCCCTTCAGGTTTACTGGACTGGTCTGAGCGTGGGTGTCAAGACTGAAAGGATCTGAAAGGTTTCGGCTTTGAGGGTTTAGGGTTTGGGGTCACTCCAAGTCCGTGCTTAAAACAGGTGGTTGCGGGTTTTGAGAGCTTGATGCCAGTAGTATCATTTTTTGTGTTTTTTTTGCTGAGGGCGGAGGGGTTCCTTATGAAAGAAGCGCCAGAACATGAGAAAGGTTACCTTTCTTCATATGCTTCTAAAACGCCTTCTGAACAAAACCGCTCTGAGGGAACCTCAGCCCCAAACCCGAAGCTAGTTCAATTTCAGTTGAACCTTGGACTTGAGGTCGAACTGTTGGTAATGCTTTTCACAGGGGCTCACGATTTAGGGTGCAGGATCAGGGTAGAATGCAAGAGCATGTGAACAAGGCCGAGGTATTTCAAGCCAATGCTGGGTCAGGTTCGATCCAGCGCAAGCGCCGACAGATTCCCCGGCAGCAACGCCGGGACTCGAAGCAGCCACGCCGGGACCCGACAATCAATCGAGTCAGCCTATGGCTTTGCAGCTTGCAGCACCTTGCAAGCCGTCCGTTTGCGAGGAGGACGCTGGGGATGGTTGTAATGCTCAGAACCATTTTAACAGTATGTTTCTCGAAAGCCCGGGCTATATCATCAGGATCTCAGAACTTTCGGAAACTCCCAGCTTCTACGAAAGAATTCGAAGTTTGCGTGTGTGACTGCAGGGTTTCGGGGATGAGGGCTTTGCGGTTTGGGCAACACGGTTTCCAGCCTTTGGAATTTGGGTTGAGGGTGGTTCTGCATCCAATGTCCCAAACTCTCCATCAAACTCCGTGAGAAGGTGCGTGTGTCTTTCGCAGTCTTATGACCTGCTGTCGTTTATGTACTGAGTTGAAGCGAAACCGCCCGATGTTGGTCACGTGTGAATCATACTCCTTGGGAGCCCCAGAGTCTTTAGAAAGTGTAAAATTGAACCAGCGTCCCGGCAGCTAAGCCCCAAGTGTGGAGACTCTTGGGTTCTTTTACTTTAGAGAGGTTCACCTTCCATGGTTCGGTGTGGAAGGCCTAGACACGCAGCCAGACGCGTTGCCCGGAAGGACGGAGGTCTACCCAGCTGGTCGTCTCCCAGCAGGCATGCAGAATGTTTCGGGCGGTTAGGGTGTAGGATTGCTTCGCGATTTCCTTCGCAATCTCATGCTGGCATACTTTGTCTTTCCGCTTCTGCCGTTTTAACCACAACGCCCACATCGACGACGAAGCTGGTCCTCGTTTGAACCGCTTGTGCTCTGAAATTTGGGAGTTTCCAAAAATGGGGGTCCCTAATATAGTACCCTGAATAATAGGATCCTTATTATGAGGACCCCCAAATAAGGTACCCCTTTTCGGAAACTCCCATTTGCTTCACGAGCTTGAGTACGTAATGTGGCCAGCCCTGTAGACGCAGAGCCGTCAAGGCATCTTGGGACGGTAGGCCTATCCATAGGCTCCATTGCAGTTCCTTTTTGTGGCCTATATTTAGGATCTTATAAGGTAATCCCAAAAAGGAATTACTGTGCAGCCTATATGAGTAATTGAGCCCTTAAGCCAGAAACCCTAAACTGGCCCTGACCTGGCAGGAACGATGGACCTGAAGTGGGCGGCTGAGCGAGGAGTGAGCCGTCACAAGGTTTACCGAGGCCTCAGTCAGGTATAGGGATGTCACCTGTGCCTGACACTACCGTAACATGGCCTTTCGTCGAACGGGCCAGCCGGTAGAACTTTTCTACTCGTCGAACGCTTGTCCCAAATGAGGACCAAACGGTCTTGTAGGCGGTTGGGACAACAGGTTTCTCTCACATCTCATGCATTTGCTGTGGTTAAAGACCACCGCAATGTGCGTGGAGATTAAAACACAGAGCAAAACAAATTTGTTTCGCTGTGGTGCCTCGGCAAGTGAAGCTTCCAAGGCGCTTTGTCCAGATCCGGAGCCTCAACGTTGTGTTTAATGCAGAGCTCGGCTTGTAAATCGTCGAGAACCTAGACCCTCCATCTACCCTCTATAGAAAACGCCAGAAATTTGGAACATGCTAACCCTCATGTCCTGAAAGTAAAGTACAACGGATCTTAACATTAATCATCACAAATCCATGTTCCAACTTTCTAAGGTGCGCTGTATTAGTCCCTAAATACCATGATTTGAGACCAGATTTGGCTCTTTGAGGGTACAAGGAGGGTCCTGGAATTCGGGCTACAGACTTGCAGGGTCGCACTCAAACCCTAATCTCAATCCCGAAGAGCATCCTTTCCAGCCGTGGCCAACCTCAGTCTTCAACTCAGGAACTCGTCAAGTGAAGCCTTAGTCCCCACACCTGGGAGATTCCGAAGATAGGGGACCCTAATACAGTACCCTAAATCGTAGGATCCTCAAAAGGACACCAGAATAAGGCACCCCTAACTTTCATGAAATCCTAAACCCTTATGGAGCCCTTTAAAGGGACCCTAATAGTTACCCTTTTCAAGGAGCCCGTGGGCACCCGTAATTTTCGGAAGCTCCCATCTGAACTCCACTGTCAACCCGACCTGGACCCGTGACCGGCTACCAGCCCCACATGACCCCGAAAGGTGAAAAGATATTCTGGGGCTTGAATTATTAGAATACGGTTCCTTGAAAGGGATCCTACACGGGATACTAGAAGTGTGCTGTAAGGGATTTAGGGTTGAAGAATTAAGATAGGGTTTGGGGGTAAATATTATACTAAGAGTTATATGAAGGAGCCCCGAAACCCTATTCTAATTATTAAGGCCCCTACTCGTACAGTAAAGGCTGCAGGGTCCAGGTATAGACCCTCAATGGCCGATCCCTCTCGCCCTGGTGAGAGCTTGAGGACTGCTTTTTTCCCCTTGTGCGCTTGCATCTGACGCGACCGCGATAGTGAGCAGCAAAACACCTCGTTCTCTCGCTCAGGGCGATTTGGTTCCTTGCAGCTTCGGGCTTGCCGGGTTTTTCAGCGGAGGTTTCGTGAGCTTAGTGTCGAGGGTGCAGGCTCATGGGTCTGGGATTTCAACCTGAAGCCTAGAATTTAAACCCTAACCCTGAACCCTTAACCTTACGTACAACCCACAAAGCCCTACTTGGAGGATCATGGGACTTAGTAAGTATGGTTATAAGTACCTTAATTGGCGTTATAAGTAGTTCTAAGTATACCTTAATAGAAACCCTATTTACTAAGTCCCATGATCCTCCAAGTAACATACTCCTCGGGAGGCCCACTCCGTGCTCGCCGCGGCGGCGAGCGCCGAGGGAAGCTGCGCCGCCTGCGCCGGAGACTGGGCTCAGGTTAAGGAATCTAGTTTAAGTTCAAGATGGTTTCCTTATTATGGTGGCTCGCAGAGAGGGTTTTTTCCTAAAAACCCTCTATGGTTTCCTCCAAGGCTCCTGGACCCTTGCCCCCCAAAGCCGACCCCCCCCAGAAAGCCCAAGACCCTCTTACGAGCATTAAGCCTAAACCCTAAACCCTCCATGACCGGGGCTTTGGAGCTCGTGCGACGAAAAAGGCCTTCAAAAAAAAACAGTCCTCCATGGTTTCCTTATGATGGCAACTTTAAATCCCTGAAGAAGAGCCCAGGAGAGCTGCAAAAGGCGGCCGGCGCTTTGGGGCTTCCGCTCCAGGACCGGTTCCAGGGTTTGATGGGCTTTAGGGTTTCAGGGTTTTAGGGCCCTTTCGGGATTTAGGGTTTTACAGTTTAGGATTTTAGGGCTTTAGGGGTTTAGGGTGTATAGGGTTTTAGGGTTTTCGGGGTTTAGGGTTTACGGTTTTCGGATTTAAGGGTTACTGCTGTAGTAAACTGTAAACAGCCCTTGAAACGAGCCCTCTCCTACCCCGAACTCCGAAGACCCCGGATATAGAACATAAACCCGCAAAGCACATCCCCTTTATTCTGGAATACAGCTTGACGTAGACTCAGACGTATCTATAGCTATGATTCTGAAGATATACGGTCCTGATTTCCCGGAAGCCTAAACCCTAAACTTCCTCAAGATCCAAAGCCTTTTTGAGTCACGGGCTGGTGCCGGACGTCTGAAGAAGCATCATATTGACGCAGACCCTAAACCCCTAAAACCTAAACTCCCTAAACAGCCAAACCCTAAATCCCGAATTAAACCCTAAACCTTAAACCCCAAAAAGCCCTAAACTCCCTAAGCAACCAAACCCTAAACCCCGAACTAAACCCTAAACCTCAAACCCAAAAAAGCCCTAAACTCCCTAAACAACCAAACCCTAAACCCCGAATTAAACCCTAAACCTCAAACCCAAAGAAGCCCTAAACTCCCTAAACAACCAAACCCTAAACCCCGAATTAAACCCTAAACCTCAAACCCAAAGAAGCCCTAAACTCCCTAAACAACCAAACCCTAAACCCCGAATTAAACCCTAAACCTCAAACCCAAAGAAGCCCTAAACTCCCTAAACAACCAAACCCTAAACCCCGAATTAAACCCTAAACCTCTCTGGCTGTAGTCAACTGTTCAACCGAGACACCCTGCAATGCGGGCTTCGTCCTTGCTAGGTAGGAGGGAAAAAAAACCCAAAGAAGCCCTAAACTCCCTAAACAACAAGGCAAGCCCTAAACCCTAAACCGTTTTCCGTCCAGACCCCCAGGAGATCGCAGAGTTCCTGGCCGACTACTGCGGAGTCACACTGGGCCACTTCCCGGTGCAGGTGGGCTCAGGGCTTTAGGGTTAGGGAGTTTAGGGCTTTTTTGGGTTTGAGGTTTAGGGTTTAATTCGGGGTTTAGGGTTTGGTTGTTTAGGGAGTTTAGGGCTTTTTTGGGTTTGAGGTTTAGGGTTTAGTTCGGGGTTTAGGGTTTGGTTGCTTAGGGAGTTTAGGGCTTTTTGGGGTTTAAGGTTTAGGGTTTAATTCGGGATTTAGGGTTTGGCTGTTTAGGGAGTTTAGGTTTTAGGGGTTTAGGGTCTGCGTCAATATGATGCTTCTTCAGACGTCCGGCACCAGCCCGTGACTCAAAAAGGCTTTGGATCTTGAGGAAGTTTAGGGTTTAGGCTTCCGGGAAATCAGGACCGTATATCTTCAGAATCATAGCTATAGATACGTCTGAGTCTACGTCAAGCTGTATTCCAGAATAAAGCAGATGTGCTTTGTGGGTTCGTTCTGGGTAGGAGAGGGCTTGTTTCAACCGCTGTTTACTGTTTACTACACTACTGCTCTCACGCCTCAACAAGTGCAGTACCAAACAAGTGTATGTGAGAGACCCCCGCACCATGACCAGACCCGAAATCCTAAGCGAAAGCCTCAAAACTAAATCGGCAAACCCCGCAGTGTAAAACGCCTCCAAAAGCCAAGCACCTGAAACCGTAAACTCCTGCACCCTATGCTCTTAAGCCTAATCAGGGCCTATTTTAATCGCTGAGCCTTGAAGTCTTTTGAACAAACAGCCCGCCCAGACCCCAACCCCGCAAAACAAAAACCAATATGCAACCGTTGCAGCGCCCCTCACGTCACCGTCTACAGCAACCTGTGGCCTAAAACTAGCATTACCTAGTTTTTGTAGGTTCCGTTTAAGCCCCAATATAGTATTTTATACCAGCCGTAGCAACATATAGGTTAACGTAGCAGTTCTTAAAAGCCTAAAGCCCTACCCTAATCCTTAAACCCCAAAACCTAAACCGTCTTACCCCTTGTAGTTTAAAACCCTTAGCCCTAAACCCTGAACCCCTGAACCTTAAACCTAAACCCTAAACCCTAAATTGCCACTCCCTGTGGCAAGGCACGGTCTGATGTCCTCGTAGCCGGGCTTCCCGAGGCTGCCCCGCCACATCTGCAGGACTGGGCAGTGGCGGCTGTTGTGGTTCTTAAATGTTACCCCTACTTAGTTTAGGGTTTAGCCCACCCCTCCACGCTTAGTTTGGGGTTATAGGCTATAGGGTTACAGCATTTGGCTTGGTTTCTGGGTTTGGGGGGTTTAGTTTACCGCCTTTCTGGAGGATTTAGGAGTGAGGGCCTTGATTTACGTAGGGAGTAAGCTCAGCCCGTCATTAAATAAAGGTGTTTCGAAAGTTAGCCGCGTAATCCGAGCTTCACATGTATAGTATACAGACCCCATGTTCAAACGTTTTGGCCGGGATTCGGTTGGGCCGGCAAGCGGAGTTTCAGTTGCATGTGGGGCTTCGTACGGAGAAACGGTCACATGTACCCCAAACCCTAAACTCTTCAGACCTAACCCCTTGCACTAACCCTCAAAGGAAGCGATGTCCCAGCTTGCCGGGGATGAGGAGCTACGGCAGACCTTGGGCAAAAGAGCTCTATCTAAGGGCTGCTTGTAGGGTTCCTGTGGTAGGGTTTCGGGTATAGGGAAACGCTAAACCCTAAACCGTTAGGATTTAGGAGTTCTGCCAAAAGGGCTTCGGAGAGTCTCTGCAGATCAGGGCTTATATAGTTCCTCTACAGGGCACTAGAGTGTTCGAGAATCGGGTCCCCTCAAGTTCTATGTTGGGGTTCTCTCAAAGGGCACGATAGGGGTTTATTATAGGGTTCCTGTAACTAAAGCAGCTCATTGACTGAATCGTCCGGTGCCGTGGGTTACTTAAGGAGGTTCATGGGTAGTTATAAGTAGGGTAACCATAATTATAGCTCATATTCAGGGACTTATAACCCCACTTAGAACTACCCACGAACCTCCAAGTAAGGTTTCCGGTTTAGGGGTTTTGGGCAGACCTTGAGATTCCAGCTTGCCGGCACACCCCCGAAGCCGGTGCTGAAAAACAGGATTTTGGGGTTCTGGTTTTTGCGCTACTCGAGCTTTTGGTTACGGGTTTACAAAGGGTTCAGAGCTTGGGGGTTCAGGTTACCCCTAAACCAGAATTCTTAAACCTTACCCCCGGGGATGATGCCGAAGACTAGGAAGCACGCATGAACCGCTGCAAGCTCTGTAATTGTATTTGTGCTGTAGGGTTTCCAACCGTATTAATAAAACCCTAAACCCTAAACCTTATTATAGCACTAACTTACAGGCTTTTTGCCAACACTTCTGCACGCGGCTAGAGCTCCCCAGAATCCGCGACAAGGCTTTCAGGGATATCGCGATTATGTGGTAGAATCATAAGATACCGACTCAATACATCCATCTTCTCCTTCGAGCCGAAAGTCTGTTGCGTATCCCCATGGGGTGAGGATCCCCCCATATAGGCAAATACGTACTTACGGTTGATGATGATGATGATATATATATATATATATATCCTGCATTACCTTAAGGATCCTAAACTATGGGGATTACGGTATATTCCGTATTATTTGTAATGCAGGGTTTATGTACATCTTCAACAGTAGGACCCTTCGGACCTGTTGTCGTCAAGTCCAGCCCAGGGCCTGCGTCACCGTACGTGATGTGGCATCACCGGATCTGGAGTCGGCACTACGCTCGGGTGCTTTGGCTTCCGTTCATGTACGCACGTATGTATGTATGCCTGTATGTAATGTATGTGTGTGTGTGCATGTATGTAGGCATGCATGCACGTAGGTATGTAGGTATGTATGCATGCATGTATGTATGCACGTACTTAAAAACATTCATACTTAGATGTTGATTGGTATCATTATGTCGAGATTGACGGTTGGATGGATGATGGCCGAAGGGATGGATGGATGGTACAATCAATACAATGTCTACCAACCCACCAAGACGCGAACAAGGAATCCATTCTTTACCAGGCTCAGGGTTCAGAAGATCGGTCGCTTTCGGGTTTAGGGAGGCGCTTCAGAGAGACCTCGTTGAAAAAGGGTATTGTTTAGTGTTTAGGGGTTTTCAGGGTTCTGAATGAAGATCGGCCGGCTTGATTTAGGGTGTTTCGCGTGACTGCTCGATGTCTGCACACAGCTTTGAACCCCTCTATGCTGATGCTATATGTACCCCCAAAGCCCTCTTTCAAAATCCTGTTTGTTTCGGTGGTGGGGACCGGGCTGGTTTCCATGAGCCAAGTTCCCAAAAACCGACAAAATCCGGCGTGAGCGAAGCACTGCCTCAGCGCTGCCATGAAATTTACGTGCGGTTTCGGGACCTCAAGTTTTTAGCATGGTTTAGGGTTTAATTAGGGGTTTAGGGTTTCGGGTTTAGGGGATGGTCGAATCGAAGATATCTTCAGTATGAGCCCAAGTTGGCAAAGTGTCACGCTCGGCACTGATCCCGGCATCTTCGGTCAGCCCAGGGTTCCTTTAAGGGGTCTGTAAGGGATCCAAGGGATCTACAGGGTTTAGAGTATAGAGTATAGGGTTTAGGATTCGACAAGTTTGGACTTGAGCCGGATCCTTCTTGCAAACCCTAAATATTAGGCGCCGCATTATATTGAGGACCCAAAAAGGGACCATAATTTTGACAACCACCCAGATATCACCCGTCGAAGCGGGGGTGCTCCTAAACTGCCTAACTTGCCAATTTGCTCATATCCAGACAACCTACCCACAGCCTCAAATAATCGTGCCTTCCGGCATACGCTCATTTGTCGGGTGGTGTACTATAGGTTTTCTGGACAGCTAGAAAACATTGCATTTCCCAACAAAAGCTGCACGGTTGCAAAGGTGCGAGCGATGTCCACAAGCTGGTGGTGGCATCCTACATTCTAGAGCTGCACCTTCGATTCTTACGGGGCTTAGAATCTGAACCGAACACTGCAAACGCACAGCCCTGATCTGTGACCCAAGTCTTAGACCGATTTTGTGGAAGTGGCGTAACCACTCAACCTCCAAGCCTGAGAAACTTTCAGGCCTACCATGACTCTCGTGTCTAGTCGTTTCTTGTGGCTACCTGGCTTGCGCTACAAAGGGTCCGAGCCCTCAAGGTGCAGGTCTTTGATCCTGGAACTTTCACGCCCAACTGAGGCATCGCAACATGACCGCCACCCTGCTGCTTGGCTGTTCGAAGACCCGAAGCCCACACTGGGAAAGCTCGAACCGAGACCGTAGAAGATGGCCAGTTTCCCTTTGTACAAAACCCCAAATGCTGAATCTGGACCCCACGAAACTTAAAACCTTACAGCCAACCATCGCCTGGATGGTGCGAATGTTCAGGGTCTTATAGTCAGTACAAATTGCAAACAGCGGCTGTCGGTGAATGTCTTGACGGTTCTTTCGGTGAACGGAGTCTTTCGCGTTTATCCTGCACGGCAGAAGTCTGCCGTTTGACTAGGATCCTAGCTGCAGGGTCTGGAAAAGCTCTGTCCACACCGTACAGGCTCGGCTTGTCACCTGCATTGTGCCTCCGTCCTCCCCATTAATTATCTCCGAATCTCCTCCACCACCCCGGCCACCGCCACCGACACCCTCCACTCAGCATCGTCATCATCATCATCATCATCCTCATGTTCATGTTCATCATCACCTACGGACACTAGGTAGCCAAGTGGTGAGGACATGGTGGCTGAGCAAGTGAGCACGTACTACTAGTGTACGCGAAGCGCAAAAAGCGCGGAAGGATTGTAACTAAAGGGAAAGGAGTTCGCATTTCAGTGGCCATTACCGGCCATTGCCGTTAAGCTGTTCGGTCTCGTTCTTGCCGTTTTTGTCATTATGCCCAGTCCGTCCATTGTTGCCGATGTCATCGTGTCGGCTCATTGATGTGATGCAGAATGGAAGAAAGCCTGCGAACCCTGAAATCCAAACCTGCAGGGCGCCTTTACCCAACCACTTAAAGCTGTCTTGGATTTCACCGGTCGCCAACGGGTTAGGGCTAGGGTTTTCAATTTTCCAAACCGCTGCAATTTAGACTAAGCCCTCCCTGTCCAAACAAAGAAGGAAACCACACCTGAGACCTAGGTCGACCCCGGCGAAGTCCGTCTCTGCACCCTCGGCCATTTCCTTTCACCTCTCCTCGGCGCCATGTTCTGGATTTGAAAGCTTTGAAGGTTTAGGTTTTACTGAAGTTTAAAGCCTAAGCCTTAAACCCTTAAACCCTAAACGCTAGTTGTGGGCTTGAAGGCTGAATGCCAAGTCTTGCCTTCCGACAGAACAGCCTCGGCGGCGGGGAGCAGCGACAGTTCAAACCCCAGAAGTCTTAAACCCTGCAAACCTGGAACCTTCAACCCTAAACCCTGTAAGCCGAATACCCTCTAAACCCTACAAGCCCTAGATGCTAAACAAACCGGGGCATAGCCCAGCCTGCCTGTGTGCGAATGTGCGAATCGAAGCCCCAAAACCGGCAGAGGTGCCTTGGCTGCCTTGTGCCGATGCACGTCGTGCCAAGCCCACTGAGGCGGCAGCGGGCTTCTGGAGGTTTACTGTAACAGGGTAAGGTAGGGTTTAGGCTTAGGGTTAAGGGTCGAAGTACCGATAGCTATACACTCCCTGTTCGTAGTTACTTTGGACCTTTCAAAGGGTTATTTTCAGGAATTTACTGGTTTGGGAGCAGAAGACGGGCGCCTGAAACTCCCATATGGGAGATTCCTAAAATAGGGGACCCTGATATAGCACCCTAAATAGTAGGAGCCTGACGGACTGGTTTGGAAGGAAGTCGGAGGGGCTTAGAGTTTGGGATTTCGGGGACGTGTTTGAGGCTTCCTTTGGTTTCTAATGTTCAAGGCCTCTACACGGGTGTGGAGTTTGGTGTTTCAGGGGTTTCAGGATGTAGGTTCAGTCTTTTACCGATTTAGTTTTGCCCTGACTTATGATTATTACTATTATATTTATTATTCTTATTAAGCCCCAGCGAAGCCCACAAGCCCCGAAAGGCGCGTTTCCTCTGGGAGTCCCCGAGTAGCGGGATCCGCGGGACCCTTGCAGCAGAGTGCCCTGGGCGTCGGTTTGCCTGGGTTTGGGTCTTTCGTTTCGGGTTTAGGGTTTAGGTCCCAAAGGGTCCTTGGTACTGTTGTGGGGGATACTTTGACAAATCATAATCGTAATTCCTAGTATAGAAACCCTACATTTTACTATATAGGTACTTTGGAACTTTTGGGGGTATAGGGTTCAGGGATGTTCAGAGTTCAGAGCATACGATTTAGGGCTCATGGGTTATAGGGTTGAACTATGGCTTGGGGGGGGGGGGTATAGGGGGCCTGTGCTTAGGGCTAAGGGTCTTAAACCTCGACCCCATGCCAGCCAGGGGCATCCGAAACCTTACGAGGCCTTGTTGCCTTTTTGGCCTGCAGGAATCGGTTCGAAGCTTCAAAGAGTTTGTAGGACATGATAACGCCTGTCTGTCGAGTTTCTTGTTTCCGTGTCTTCCTGGACGTCTAGGTTGGGACCATCACATGGAGGAAAAGGCAATGAGACATCCTTCTCCCTGGGGTAAATTAGAACATTCTCAAGCGGACGACTTCTGAGTGCTGCCGCTCTTCTATGGGAGTTGCCGAACATGATGGGTACCTTATTTTGGGGTTCTTATAACAAGGATCGTACAATTTAGGGTAATATATTGGGGTCCCCTTTTGCGGAAACTCCCATATCAGCACTGCATAAAGTGGCTCCCGTTGTGGGCGAGGATTGCAAGCACTAGGGTCAATCGACTTGGTCTTGGGGTTCTGGGACGCTTGCTGTTTCTGTTCACTCGTTCGCATCCTCTTCTATCGTCCAAGTGGGTCGCGCAGACTCCGCACGTGAAGTTTGTGTCCCTTCTTTCCAAGCAAGAAGATGTCAATAACCCGTAAGCACTTTTTCAAGTGCCGCGCTGTTGTACCCATTGTGTAGAAACTCGAAAGTAACTCGCAAGTAGACGGCCTGCGGACGAGGTTCGACCACCGCTAAAACCGCAATATAGACCCTAAATGATAGGATCCGTGCTACGAGCATGAAGGATCTATGTTACAAGCAATCGTTAATGGTAGAGTATAGTAGTGAGGTCAGTGTGAGGCCAGGTTAATGGGTTTTGACATCTTTGCAGACCCGGAAGATTCAAACCAACGTAGAGGTCTAAATTACCAGTACAACATTCCGCGGTGCATGAACATAGCTACTGTATACTTGTCCCCAAATTCACTGTTTAGAGTTCAGAGCTTAGGGTGCAGAATTTAGGGCTCAGTGTTGAGAGTGAGGCTTACTGTGGGTCAGATTCTAACTACACTCAGAACAGCGGGAGAAACGGGTCTACAAGAGTTTCAAATACACCCCAGGCTAGACAGCAAGGTCGCTGTGCGGAATTTCCTGGAAAGGCCACCTGGATTTTAACCGTCACGTATGCAGGGTTTATGGTTTAATTAGGGTTTGTGACCATTGGGGTATTGCATTCCAAGTTTGAAGCCATGGTATCTTAACGCCCCAAGGTTTCGTAAACGTTCACACTGTCCTGCATAGGGGTTGCCGGCTAGTCTTTATCTGCAACTGGAACCCCGCCCTGGGTGGGACTGATTCATGCGTTGTCTCCAATAGCAGGGTCGAGCCTATCTAGGGTATTGTAGGACTGCTTGTATGAAAGTGTAGGTAAGTGCATTCGTACGCAGGTACATACATACCTATGTAGGTACGTGAACAGACAAGTCATGCAAACAAGTGCGTAATGCACGTTTTTATGAGACCATCTGTGTAAACAACTACTCATCATACATACATGTACATATATATTGTGAGCGTTGCTGGTTGGTTACTCATACTTTCGGTATCTATTTAACAGAAGGAGAGGCAGAGCGTCCGCGCGCGTGTGTCTGTGTGTGTGTGTTGGTGTTGTTGTGTGCGATCATTTGTTCGAAGTTTTTTGGAGCCCACGTTCCCCATCGTTGGGTTGAAGAAACAGTTGCTTTCGCCATACTACCCAGTGTGTAGATGTGGGTTTTTCCATAATTGACCATGGCATTTCGAAGGTCGCGGGCCGAAGCCCCCAAATGACCTCGCAGTATTCTATAAAGCCCTGTCCAAACCGGTTGAAATCGTTGCAAACCTCTACGAAGCCCGTAGTTAGACGAGAAAGCTCTCTGAAACCCGAAAAGATGCTGCACCTCATGTACACCCTATAAAGCTTGCTTTTATTTGATACCCGTGTCATTGTTCTTCTTTTTAATTTGATTTAATCATCATGTTTATTAACACACACCCACTGATCCGAGTAAAGCCCACCATGGCCCTGAAGAGGAATTTGAGCATCGTCAGTGAACGGACGGTGTCCTGCCAGGCCGGCGGAGTTTGGGCTTGAGCAATAAGATGCTGTACTATAACCTTTTTGGGGGTAGTATAGTCCCTATATGTAATCCCTATAAAACCAAAAAGGATAACCTTGAGCTCCCCATGATAGCCGACAAGTAGGCTCTTATGACCTGTGGATGCTTCTGCCATGGTATACTTAGATAGCCAATAGTGGAACTTTAAACTTTTTGGCCTTATATATTTGGTCTATCTTAGAAAGTTTAAACTTTTTTGGGCCCGGTTATTGAAGGAGAGAGTATACCCCAGCCCAGAGCCACTACATAGACTCTAGACGCGAGCTTCCCCGGCTTTTGATGCGCAATGGAATGAGAACATACCACATCCCTCGCCCAGAGCCCGTGGTGGTGCATCCCCCAATGTTTGCCGAATTTGTCGGCAGCAGCCCGCGAGAAGCGATCCGATAGCTCGCAAACTCCAAGTTCCTGGACTCCGAACCCTGGGTTTTTGGGTCTGGTGTAGAGAGGGCTCAGGCCGTGGGGCTTTCAGTTGAGGGTTTAGGCTGTAGGGTGTAGGGTTTCCGACTATTGCACGGTTTTCGGTTCACGGTGTAGGGCCTCAGGATGTAAGTTTAAGAGTGGGTTCAAGGTGTAGGGTGTGCAGTTTGCGTGGGGTAGAGCGTTGGGGTTGTAAGGCTAAGGATTTAACGGATTCACGTTCAAGGTTGCGTATACTTTAGTCGCATGATCCGAATTCCAAGCAAGTATTATTATTATTATTACTACTATTATTGTTGTTGTATAATGGAGCCACAATAAGGGCCCTCAAAAGAGCAAATGCTTCTTGACCGAATGTTTGTGCGACGGATTGCCATGGAGCGAACAGTTTGCCTTTTGTCCATTTCCCCGAGTTTTGCATCCACTCACTCGCACAGCTCGTACAGTCCAGCTACTTCCTACAACTCCAAACCCTTCGCACGAAACCCTCAACCCTGACTTAAACCCCCTAACCCCCCCACACCGCGCGGTCATGCCCGTCGAAAGAGTCGCTCCATTTGTCCAGGAGGCATTCCGCAAGCTCTTGCAGGCGACGAGGGCTTACCGAGATCAAGAGCCTAAATTTGGGGTCCATCTGAAGTCGCAACAACCCATAAGTAAGGATTACACGGACCCTCAGCCTCATCAACCCTAAACAAACCCCAAATACAAAACCCTATGCCGTATACTAAACTAAGCCCTACAAGCCCAACCCAACCAAGAGAAGCTTCGTGTCAGGTCTGCCCAGCTCCAAGATACAATCCATTTCTTCACTTGTGTAGGACTCAACTCTCAAGGTCTAGTATTTTCGAGCTTCGTCTAGGGTCTTGTTTCGGACAGCGCACTTGCCAAAATGGTCAGAGTGAGTTTGTAGCCCCGAGTGCTGCCTCACTCGCCCTTCCCGGCAAGACTGCAAGGAGTCCCCGATGCAATTGGGTCAAGTCCTGTCCATGGGAAGCTTGGTAAAATGCCCTAGGAGTCGCCAAAATCTGCCCGAGTGCGCAAGCCAGGGTGATCTTCAAATCATAAATCCGAAACCACACTACTCCGCAACAACTTGAAGTCCTTGATGCAATAATTACTGGACGTTCAACTACAAACACCCACTGCAGGGACACGCAGGTCCCTCCGCAGCAAAAGACACTTGCGCAGTCAATGAACGGACTTGAAAGCTGTTTCGGTTTGTACTTCCGGCTGTTTGTAAGCAGCTTTTTCTCGGACCTGGTTACAGTGAATCAAAGAATGTCTCGAGACGGTCCTACTCTGCTCTGCGCCCTTAGCATAAGCCTGGCGCCAGAGAAGAAAGCTCTGAGCTTTCACTTGACCCTAACAAGCACTGAACCAGCCTAGTGATTGGTTGTTTTGCGACCCATCGCCGCATGTCACAGTAGCAATGTTTATGCAATGGAGAAATCTCTATGAATCCATGCCTGCCCAGTGAGAGTGTGTGTGCATCGAGACTCCAAACCGAAACCCTTGTGTCGCAATGTCCATGCAGGAACTTGGTGCCCGCCAGCTAGGTGCGGAGGACCTTCAGTTAGGAGTTTACGGCTTTAATGGCATTGCACTCCCTGTTCAAACAAGGAGGGGCTAGGATTTGGGGCTTCGGATGTAGAGCTTAAGTCTCTACGATACCGGTTGCTGAAGGATTCCTTACTGGTTTTGATAGGGGATTCATACGATCTCTATACATCTTTGAGTTTAGAGTTTTTAGGGTTTAGGGCTTGTCGGACTTAGTGTCTGTGGGATGCTGCAAGGGTGCCTTTAAAGGAACCCTTATTACAGGAGCCCTGAAAGGGACCCTTAGAGGCTGAAAGGAACCCTTGAAGGAACCCTGACGGGTTCCTTTAAGGGCCTTGCCGGCTCCAAAGTTAGGGCCTTGGGGGCTACTGTAGGGTTTAGGGCGTGAGGGTTTGGAGCATGGGGTTTTGATATGTGGCATTACGGCGATTATAACTGAAAGCACTCGGTGCTAGGGTACACTCTCTCTCTCTCTCTCTCTCTCTCTCTCTCTCTCTCTCTCTCTCTCTCTCTCTCTATATATATGTGTGTACACATGCAAAGTTCCATCCATCCATCCATCCGTCCATCCATCCACTCACCCAGCCAGCCAGCCAGTCAGCCAGCCATGCATGCATGATCCATGAATGCATGCATGCATGCATGCATGTGTATATACATATATACACATACACACATAGGTAGATTTACATACATACTCATATATAGATACTTGTGTTTTGTGCGTATTTGTAACATGTATGCGTGTATGCATGCATGTACGTATGTATGCATTTATGTATGTATGCATGCATGTATGTACGTAGTAATGCGATGTAATGCCATGTAATGTAATGATGCTTGCAAGCATGCATGGATGTGTGCATGTATGAGTGTATGTGTGCACTATACAGATGTATATGTACATATATATATATATATATATATATATATATATACATACATACATACATACATATATATATATATATATATATATATATATATAATATGCATATGTTTATTTATGTATATATATATATATATATATATACATATGTGTATATACAATGCATTCATACATGCTTGCATACCTACATCAAAACCTAAACATACACACATGCATGCAGCCTTATTTATCAAGGCTTACTTGGTTGTATACCCCCCAATAATTTTGACACCGTTAGGATGTGCTGCGGCTACTCACCGAGTGGTCTGAGTCGGGCATGTCGGGAGCCGAGATTGCCTTATTTGCACCCCCCCCCCCGCCCCCCATCCCCAAACTCTTCACCCGGAACCCAAAAACCATCACAATGAGGAAATAGCTAGGTCTCGCAGAATTGGCTCCAGCTAGGGCCAGTTTCAATCTAGCTTATGGGCGTCGAAGCTTGCATGGGCAAAACGTGCTAGACTTACATGCTGTTGCGTATGAACCGCAGGAGGATTTGAAGGTAGCAAAGCTTGGCTTTTCGATTTTCAGTTTCTGCACCAAGATTTTGTAAGGTTTCATGTATGCTAAATGTTCATGCGCCGGGCATTGAGAGCTTCCGGCCTTCTTTCTGTATCGGGGTTTCCGCCGGCAGATGGCATAACAGGGCCCCGTGGCATCTGCCGCTTTGCATGTTTTCGGTTCCCACGAACCTGAGTAACCTTGCAGTAGAGTAGGTAACCTTTAACCTTTTCTGGGTAGTACAGCCCCTATATATTCCCGATATAGCCAAAAAGGTTAACCTTTAGTTCCCCATGATACCCGACAAGTAGGGTAAGTGCTGGGGTTCAAAAATTGGCGTCTTGCATCCAGAGAGGACAGTCAACGTGAATCGTGCCCCGGAAGCTTTCTAGAAAGCCCTCCAGCCGGTTTTGGTGGGTTTGGGGGGGCAGCATCAGATCAAGAAGCCCTGGATTGAGACTTTGCTGTACCGAGCCCTTTGGGTTCAATTCGCAAAAGACTGAGTCGTTTGGTACGCTGTGAAGGTCGGAAAGCACGGAGGGTGAGATGACCTCCGCCTACGCCGTTCGTCTGCGACAAGAGAGGGCCCTTCTGCTTTCTGTGGGGCCCTACGAATCCAGACTCACGCGATGGGTTGTAAGCATCGCGTCATCAACAGCATGCAGTGGATGTGTTGATATATTCGACGTCTTAAACCCTCTGAGCCTCTAAGAATGCGGCTGGAATAGGCTTTCTGATCCAAGCACTGGGCACTGCGGAGCACGTAATGCAGACCTCGTAGTACCTGAGCAGGAAACCCGCACTAGCCCGTTCTGGGCTGGTCTCTCTTTAGCGAGTGCTTGAATGATGAGGCCCTTCGTCGTGGGGTTCAGTGTTAGTTACGCCATGCCTCTGTTAGGGTTGTATTGGACACGTAATACCGATCATTGAGTCTCCTGTGCTACACTTATTTGTCTGTTGTACCCTGGCCGCCATTTCTGTCCGGTATAACTAAACCATACTGTAGTAGAGTCGTTGCTTTCTAAGACGACGTCGGGTTCCAGTCTCAGCGGTGGGAGCTAGCTGGAAACCAGTGTCATTACAATTCGGGACGTATTCTGGCGTTGTGAGCTTTGTAAGTGAAGGCTTGACGAGCGGTTTCCTTCTTATCCCAGCGTGCAGAAATTTCAGGATGATAGCTTTGGATCCAAGGGCCAGAACCCTCAGCGCCGAACAGGAATCCTAAGTCTTGAGTACCGAAGTGAACCCTATTCTAATTATCAAGGCCCTATACCGTCAACCCTCATTATAGTAGCCCTTATAGAACCCATAACGGAACCCTTTGAAGGAACCCTATGAAACCCCATTCTAACTATCAGTGCTCCTATTAATGTCAACTGTGAGCGCTTTTACTTGCTGGGGTCATCGCTCGCCTGAGCTTCGATCTTCAGTCCCAGGGATAGTACCCTAATATTTCTTTTTTGGAGCCCCAAAAGAGTGCTGGTACTTATTTAGGTTTTTGTCCGCTTCTGTTGTACTCGTATCCGATGCTCTCATGGTTGACGATCTTTCCGTTTGCGGCCCAGTGTGCATCTTATATAGCCTGGTTCGATGGTTTCGACAGGGTTACCCGTGATTTTATCCGAGGCTTGATACGATGTATGCCATCACGCTAGTGGTCATGGTCACTACTGTTTAAATTGGTACACCTTGAACCCATGTTCAGCCCTTAGCGGAGTCTTAGCGATAAACATAGATGTATTGAGTGGTCTGCCCTTGGGGCGACGGGCAGCCATGGCAGACGCCACGGCGGATAGCCTGCGTGCGGAGATCGAAGCAACGAAGCAGCAAGTGCAAGCAGAACGCGCGACGGGACACGCAGTTCTTGAGCACATTTTTAATTCTTTGACATAGATCTACCTTTTGCTAACGGTTATAAGTCTCACTCGTTGTTGGTGACCTTTTGTTCAGACTGAAAGTTTGAGACTTGTTGGGGGACTTGCTGTGGACAGCGAAGGACATGAGCTTCGCAAGGAGATGGTACAGGCCGATAAGGTTAGATCTCCAATACCCAACCTTTAAGTTGTTTTTTGGCTTTTTGTAGTCTAGTAGTAACCGGAAAGTTTAACCTTTTATTTCTGTGGATTATTGGGTAGTAAGTATAAAGCCAAAAGGTTCAAGAGCCTCAAAAGGTATGAACAACATCTCACCTCAACTCCTAGATCTATGATTATTTATGGAGCGCATTTTCTGGAAGCTGTAAAGCCTGTAGCACAGAGGATTCTGGGGTGTCCTGGGGCGAAAAGCGTTCTCAAACCACGTGATATCTTCAGCTCTCTTGGTGTTGGATGCTATAGAACTGACAGTTTGGCGACGAGTAATTCACCCGAAGTGGTCGTGGATAAGTAAACGGCGAGCCCTTTTTGGGTCCTTATTATAATACGGCACCTAATATTTAGGGTACCCAAAGAGGGACCTGCCCATAAGAACTCTGGAGCACCCTAGAACACCCTAGAATCGGCTGGCAGGCTGAAGAAAGGCAGCGACTGCGCCGAGAGCTGGACAAGCAGAGGAAAACCCTTGCGGAAGAGCAGGACACGAACCAATGGCGGACTCAGTACCGCAGACACCCAGCTGAAATGGGGCAGCAGGCAGCGAAACTAAATGCGGTGTAGGGTTGCACATGTCTGGTTTAGAGCTGTTGTTGTTGTTGTTGTTGTCGTTGTTGGTACAGACAAAAACAGCAGCCCGTACTTGTTGTTACACGTAATTAGAAGCAATTGGGAATGCTTCCGGCGACCGCATAGGGTGCCTGTAGACTTTTGGGAAGTTCAAGCCATGCCTGCCCCATGATAGAAATGCGGTGTAGGCTGGGTGGTTGTTGTAAAAGGGGGGGGTCAAAACAACAGACGGGGCTCCAGTTTTTGCCTCTACTACAGGGGGTAGAGACAAAGGCACCAGCGAAATCAGGACTTTGTCTCTACCCCCTGTAGTAGAGGCAAAAACTGGAGCCCCGTCTGTTGTTTTGACCACCCCCCGTTTACAACAACCGCCCGCATAACACCATATTCCACCACAGGTATAGGAATCTGCGATATCCAGAAGGGGTTCTGATGGGTGTTGGAAGGGCTTGTCTAGAATTTTGAGGGGTTTGCATTGGATACCCGCACACTCAAAACTATAGTTACCAGTTACTATACAGTAGTTTGTTCTGGCCTCGCAAATGCATATTCTGCACGGCGGGGAACTGAAATACACACCAAATCCATTGAAAATACACACCACAATCATTGAAATACACACCAAATGCACTGAAATACACACCAAATCCACTGAAATACGCACCAAATCCACCGAAATACGCATTAAACCCACTGAAATACACACCACATCCATTGAAATACACACCAAATCCATTGAAATACACACGAAATTCACTGAAATACACACGACATCCATTGAAATACACACAATCCATTGAAATACACACCAAATCCACTGAACTCCGCACCAAATCCATTGAAATACACGTGCAATCCACTGAAATACACGCGAAATCCACTGAAATACACACGAAATCCAGTGAAATACACACGAAATCCATTGAAATACACACCAAACCCATTGAAATACAGACGAAATCCATTGAAAATACACACCAAACAGTATACATCACAGGCATCCACAGGCACTGTGTTGTTTTTGTTGTTGTTGTTGGGGCGGGGTAAAACAACATGACGGGGCTCCTGTTCTTGTCTCTACCTAATGTACAGACAAAAAGCAGATATATGGGTTGACGGGGCTGCAGTTTTTGTTTGTACCTCGTTGTTGTTGTTGTTGTCGTCGTTGTTGTTGTTTGGAATTTTGAGTTGAGGCCCCGCCCCGCAGCTGCTTGCAATGATGCTTCGTGCAGTACTTATCCTCGAAGCCCTAACTGTAGCCTCAAAGCCCACAAGATGATAATGGTCCAGAGTCGGGAACGGAGACCTCAATTTCAGGGTATAGCACTGCAACGTAGAAGGGTTAGGCAAGGCTAGCTTACCGTAAACCTGAAACCCGCAATGTTAGAAGCATTCTATCCGTGCGGTTTTGGGGTGTGTGCTTGTCTTGATTGCCCGGTAAAAAGGGGGTTTCAGCATCTTATGCCCCTATAGACCTAGGATGCCCAGTAGTACCCTTATTCCCTTTTTGTAGTCCTAGGTTCCTTATAATAAAGTTACCCAATACCAAGAAGAGAGGCCTTCTTGTTCCTAGGTTACTGGGTATCCTAGAGACACTGTACTGCTCCCCAACAGGGTTCCCTGTTGGGTTCCTTTCTGGCTGACGGTTCCTTCAAGGGCTGCAACCATCAACCAGTCGCTTGAGTGTTTGATGCTGTACTGAAGGGGAATCAAAGAGCTATCGGAAGAGTTGGATAATGAAGGTCACTCCGAGAAACAACACTCAAGAATCTAGACGAATTGTGCAGTATGATTTCGGGTTTAGGCTCAAAGACAACCAAAGAGCAAGGCCTTCATGCAACCCTGTTTGGAAATCCTGAACTGATGTATAGAACTGCCTAAACCCTCTTGTGCGAGTGTGAGTGTCGAAGCCCCTGAGCTCCTAAATCCTGTCTTGAATAAGGAGACGTCGATGAGGATAGGTCGGGACCTGCGCCAAGACTCCTGGCTCAATCGTCTGCTCGCCGAGAGACGCTGTTGATCGATCGAGTCTTGCCGGGAATCAGGGCTTACTACAGGGGCCGAAATAATTACCAATACTATTTATTGTGGTATATTAGGCCCCAGAACTCTATTCTAATTATTAAGCTCCCTATTATATTAGAGCTTAAATGTACAGCGACAGCGCCGTTTCATAAACAGCTGTTTCTTCGCGAGGGGACCTTCGATTTCTTATTTTTGAAGCGAATACCAGCGTACCCTGGATTTCTTGTTTTCATTTTGCGGAATTGTATGTGTGTGTGTGTGTTCGTTGCACGACTGCCCGAGCGGCTCAATTTCTTGAACCGGTAATTCCTAAGCGGTGCTGTCGCTGTAGCTGTAGACCCCTGATTTGTACACCCCTGTACCTTAAACGGAACTAAAATCGACTGATGCCAAGGATCCTAAAATTGGGATTAAAGGTTAGGGCCTTCAGGCCCCCGCATCAGCCAAAGCTCCAGCAAACCGAGGCTTCGATGGCGAGACCACGAACTGTAGCCACCGAGTCGCCAGGGGTGCGCCTCGGTTTGTGGATTTTCGGGTTCGAGGGTTTAGGGCTTGAGGGGTTTGCGGGTTCTGGGTTAGGGTTTCTCAGAAAGGATTTTATGGTTTACTGGTTTAGGTTGGGGGCAGGTGCTCTAGGGGGTTTCAGGGACGTCAAAGGGTTATTTTTGCCAGACGTAGCGTTTAGCGATGTTGTGCACGAGGTTCGGGGTTTAGGGTATAGGGTATGCATTCTCAGATTCTGGGGACTTCTGGGCTTTGTCTCAGATTCTGGGGACTTCTGGGCCTTGAGTGGCAACTGCTTGTCGAGTTAGACGTCCTGCATTGTTGAGTTCGTGAGGAACGGAACAGCGGCTTCTGCACATGTCAGTTGTTGAG